ACTAGGGTTGTGGGTGACCCTTTCTTGTTCCTGTAAGCAGGTGACTTACAGAAGTTCAGCATTCATTACTGTGAATGACTGTCTCTCGTAGAAGTGAATGCACGGTCCTCCCGATTGGAAGATCGTATCTCTCTGTCCACCGCTCTGCGCCTCAGCCTTGGTTCTCTTGCTCCTCTCAGAGCTATCTCCATTTTTGTACCCATCTTGTGGAATGCTTTTGGAGACAGTCTTGTGACTTTGCTGACAGCCTGCACTTTAAGTTAGTTCTCTCTCTTCTCAGCTCTGTTGTCTTCCTTTCTAAACTATGATTTTATCTTGCCATATTGATTTGCTTGTCTCCAAACCCCATCTCCACAAATGTACTGTTTATCTTTGAATCTTTCCTGGAACACTCTTTCTAGCTGCAGGGCTGAATTAACTCTTCTGTGGGCCCCAGGCTATTAGATTTTGTGGGGCCCCTGTACACAACAAAATGATTACAATTATGGCATTGAGGCTATTAACGCTAGCCTTTTAATTAACATAAAGCCACTCTGGGGTTACATTTCAGTCTTAAAACATGTAGAATATAGTTAAGTTTATTTAAAGTAGCCTACTTCTTACATTAGAACAGCTGTTATAATAGCTGTTTCTTTCTGGGAGGGAGTTTGATAGCAGGAGGGGGCTCCAGACTGGGGCAGAGAGTTCGGGTGCAGGAGAGCATGAGGGGCGCGGGCTCTGGGAGGGAGTTTGGTGCAAGGGGGATTCTGACCTGGGGCAGGGGTTTAGGGTGCAGGAGGGGGTGTGAGGTGCAGGCTCCAGCTGTGAGGCTTTTACCATAGGCAGCTCCTGGCTGGCGGCACAGCAGGGCTCAGGCAGGCTCCATGTGCCTCCCTTCCCCGCCCTGGACCGCAGAGACGTGCCAGCAGCTGGCCACTTCCGGGAGAGGCGTGGGGCCATGGCATGCAGGCAGCCTGCCTGAGCCCTGCTGTGCCGGGGCCCCCCTTAGCCCGGGGCCCTGGACTGCAGCCCCTAAAGCCCCTGCGTTAATCTGGCCCTGCCTAGCTGTCCCGCTCTTCTGAACTCACCTCTGCCCAAGATCTTAGTCAGTTTTTTCAAAAATAAAAATGATGCTGGCAGGAGTGTCATTCCTCCTTCCCTCTGCGCTCCATCGTTCTCTTCTTCTACTCTCGTGTCTGATTCTGAGGTCTTCCTTTATCATCTACTGTTTACCTAGTCCCTCATCTCATGCCCTCCTGCTAGCTATCCTCCCTCAGTATGTCTGATGCCCCGTCATTTCCCCTTTCTTTCCACTTGCTCCTTTCCATTCATCTACAAGGACACTTTATATCCCAGATTTGAAACAAACCTTCCCTCACCCCATGTGACTCTTCAGCTACTATCCTGTATTATCTCCCTCCTCTCCTTCATCTTATGGTCTGTGAGTGTGCTTTCACTTCCATTGCCTAGATTTCCTCTCCTCTGACTCCTTCCTATGTGCTTGTGGTTTCCATGACTCTGTGCTCTCCTTGTTCTCTTCCTGCCACTGCTGCCATCTCCTCTGAAGGCTGCTTATTCTCCCTTCTACTCCAATCTGTTAGCTTCCGTTAAGGTTTTGTCCTAGATCCCATTCTCCTCTCTTCTCCAGTCCACCGAGGCAGTCGTATCCGTTTCCATGGATTTAGCTATCTTCTCTGTGCTAAAGACTCCTAAATTTACGGCCAGTCTCTGAAGTATATTTAAATGTTTAATGACTATGACTATTTCTGAGCCTAGTGCTGAATATGGCCATGTAGACACTGGCAGTCGGAGAGCCCTGCAGTGGTGACCGCAAACAAGCGTCGCACTTGCTTTTCATGTTGATTTCAACCCCTGAAGAAAAGCTTCGTGTTTACTATTTAAGAATTAAATATTTGGTCCTTTTCTGTAATATATAATTGACAGTCCTTTCCATTGGGTCCCATGTTGCTATTGTTTTAAACTAATATTAAACTAATATTGGTTTCAGCAACATGGGCCCCCCAAAGCTTGGAAATGCCAATTGTAATTAAAAACTTAAATGCCTTTTGCATGGTGAGAGCTGCTCTTCACCCTGTGAACTTTCAAACTCCCGTCCTGAACAAGTGGTTGCAGTTCTCATCTAACAATCGGAGCAGCTGCGCCATGGAACAGATTCCTGAGAGAGGTGGTTGAGGCACCATAACTGCAGAGATTCAAGGACAAAATAGAGGAGACCTTTACTGGAAGGGAGTTAGTGATTTTTATCGGTCCTACCTCAGTACTGGAGAGGGAAATTTGTGCCTCACTTTACCCCCTTCTCTCTCATACTCTAAGCTTGCATTTCCCAGGCTGCCGTGCCGGGAAAGGGGAGTGATAAAGCATTTTCAAAACTATTTTTTAGGAAACAGTTATCATGAAGGTTTATACAATGAGTCCACATCACAACAGAATGCAAAAGCCAGCAGCACACTTGACAAAGTCAGCGCATGCCTAGTGTAAGGAGTTTAAAATGTTTTCAGATCTCTGAAAGGGACACTCATTTAAATAAGCTACATTTTTCTGATATAGCACCCTTTAAAACAGTATGTCCTCAAATATTTTTAATTTGAAGTGATTTTTTTCCCCTGCTGATGTTTAAAAGGACCCTAAAGGGGTGGGGGACAGCAGCAACACCACCAAACTAGCTTGGGCCCATCCTTCCTCCCATTCCCTTCCTTTCTGTGCACACAACGGTCAACTGACTCTTCATCACTGGTTTGTTTAATATTTGCTGCTGGTGTTACTGACAGGCCCCGTGTATGCAGAGTTGGGAGAAGAGTATGTGTTAGAATACGCTCCATCCCCCACAGCAGTGTATGAGAGGGATGATATTATTGCTCGTGCAACTGATCATCAGCAAAACATAGGTGAATGGAACCTGACTACATATGAAGTGTTGTCAAACACAAACAGAAAACAAAATGGGAAAAATAGGGGAAAATACCAATAAATATAGTAATAATAAATTAAATAATCTATTTTTCTCTCATCTCTTTAAGTTATAGCCATCTTAAGGATACACTAATAGGTTTAAAAAATCAGGTGGCTAGATGGGATTCAATATTTAATCTAATTTACTTTGTCTAGTGTGTTTATACTACATTAATCACTAAGATATTTGAGCACCAGCAATTTTGTGGGTTCAGATTGCAAATGTAGCTTTAGCTTGAATTAAGTGATTTTCCTCATGAACTTGTGTTTAAATGTGAAACATGTGCAAAATAGATAAAAGGGGAGAGCATGCTGAGACCTGAGGACCTTTCTAAATAGTCCCCTGCAGACCCTCAGCATGTCTTGAATCAGTTGTTCCAGCTAAGCAAAAGGTTCTCTCTCTCTGGCTTGTGTTCTGCTCCTCCCTATGAACGGCATTTTCTCTGATCAGAAGAGGTCAAAACAGGGCTTCTCTGAAACCCTGAACATTTATTATTTCAGGAGTTATTTTCCTGCAGTCAGGAAGGTGGCAGATGCACAAGGAGCAACTTCTAGCTGAGCCTAGGCTTCTCATCCAGCAAAAGCACTTACACACATGCTTAACTTTGAGCACATGTCTAATGCCATTGAAATCAATGGGACTGTTCACATGTAAGCATGTTCTTTTCCATTGTGCTGGATCAGGGCTGGAATGCTCAGTACCTGGCAGGACTGAGCCCGAGCTTAGTATAGCTACTAACTGCTCAGCTGGAGAGTCCCAGTCTGAGTGCCAGCTGTTGCCTAGTGCAGGATGCACATGGGCAACGAGGCCGGACACCGGATGAGGCAGAACTTGGCTAATTGCTGAGAAGTGCTGTGGCGATTTGCTGTAGCTGACAGACAAACAGCAGCAAGTGCTAGTGCGTCACTGGAATGAATGCTTTGTGGTTTTCTCCTTCCTACAATTGTCATGGTTTGATGACTGCATAGTGCTTCTAGTTTAGGGTTCTCTTCAATCCTGCGCCCATTGAAGTCAATGGGAATTTCACCTTTAATGTCAGTCAGAGCTAGCTGCATGAAGTACTGCAGAAAGCTGCCTGCAAATACTTCCCAGCTTTCAATCACAGTGTTACCACTTTGTTTGGGCATCCCACATGTTCACAGGTAGACATTTGGCACCAGGATGCAGGGGCAGCCATTTTGAATCTGTACTAAAATAACTTGGTTTATTAAAACGAGTTGTGACACTATCAGCTTCCTGAACATTTGGAGTTGGCTGCTGTCTCCCGACACACACAGTGCAGGTGGAGAGACACATTTCCTGAACCTGATGCAAAATTGTTAAGAATGAAAGCCAAAGGCTTATTAATTTTGTATTTATTTATTAATAACCTTGTATTTTCCTTGGCAATAGCCAGAGTCCTTCACTGCAACAGATTACTAGGATTTTGCATAGGTCATCCACTTAGAAATCTGATCTTTGCCTCATAAAACACAATGGGGCAGCAATGAGGTCACACGGGCCAAATCCTAGATCCAGCCTGAATAGTATGACCAAGCACTGGGGCAGAAGGGTAGGGAAGAAATCCTTCCCTCAGGGCACAGAGTGATAATGATTGCAATTGCCTCTGAGACCTTCCCTCCCCAGTCCATGTGGTGTGGATGCATGGACTTGTGTGCTGCCATGCAGAAGCCCCCATGGAATGGGGCTCCATACCTGAGCAGAGGGTATATGCATCCTTCTATCATTCCCTCAAATTCTGTTCTTCCCCTTGTGCATCAAAACTACACCTTCTTCCACTGTCTGGAGCCCCACTGCAGGGGCAATCCTGGGATTTGCTCATTAATTCTTAAAAAGAGAGAGAGAGAACCCTGCCATATCTTTGCTTTGAATGGTAACCTAAGGTAAGACAGTTCTGCAGGTAAGAAATTGAATTTCACATTCTTTTAGCACCAAGCAATGAAGTACGGCTGATCACTTAACTAGTTTAAACCCCACAAACTACTTTTCTGTTTGGAAACTGAAATATGCCCCTTTTTTAATGTTGGCTTTTACCTTTCTCTCTTTGCAGTTATGCGGCTGTGGACTGTTGGGCGTGGGAATATGGCTATCAGTGTCACAAGGAAACTTTGCCACATTTTCTCCCAGCTTTCCATCATTTTCAGCTGCCAATCTTGTCATTGCCATTGGTACAATCATCATGGTGACTGGCTTTTTGGGTTGTCTGGGTGCTATCAAGGAAAACAAGTGCCTCCTTCTAAGTGTAAGTAACCTGCACTGGAAATAAGGTATCAGTTTTTAAGTTGGTTATAAACCGTTGGAACAATTCACCAAGAGTTTTGGTGCATTCTCCATCACTGGCAGTTTTTAAATTCTAAAATATATGCTCTAGATCAAACAGAAATGTTTCTGAGGAAAGTCTATGGCCTGTGTTATACCGGAGGTCAGGCTAGATGATCACAGTGGTCCCTTCTGGCCCTGGAATCTATGACTCTGTGACTCTATGACCATGGATACAGACCCCTACTTCACTGCTTACTTTAAAAGTGACCTGTATGGGAAAGAACGTATTAGGGAATAATGTTTCTATTGACTTTCAAAACCAATGTATGTAATTCTGTAGCAGGTATTCTCAATTAAACTCGATAGGGTAACTTAAAAATCCTCCTCCTCTGGAATTGTGTAGTGAGAGTTATACAGTGGAATGATACCACTGCTTGGTTTTATTCAAATATGTCACTATATTTGTTTATTTTTATAAACATTTCCCCCTGTCTAGGTACTACCATAAATTAAACATGAAATACAAACCAGGAACAATCCTCACTGTACAGTTAAGCACAAAACAGCTGCCAGGCAAGCAATTCATCCAGAAATTTCAACATTAGAAGAATTGTCCTGAAAGCATTAATGATAACTACTCCAATAATCCACCATCAGTCTTTACCCTGCCCCTTATCAAAGGCCCAGGAAAATCACTGTGCCCCAAAAGTTAACATAAGAATGGCTCTACTGGATCAGATCAGAGGTTCCTCTAGCCCAGTATTCTGTCTTCCGATGGTGGCCAGTGCCAGGTGCCCCAGAGGGAATGCACAGAACAGGTAATCATCAAATGATCCATCCCCTGTCACTCATTCCCAGCTTCTGGCAAATAGAGGCTAGGGACACCATTCCTGCCCATCCTGGCTAATAGCAATTGATGGACCGATCCTCCATGAATTTATCTAGTTCTTTTTTGAACCCTGTTATGGTTAATACTTCTGATCTCCACTGGGCCATGCAGGTTAATAATTCTGGACTCTTGGTGGGCCTAAAATTGCGAGTGAATTCTAGACTCTGCCAGCAGCCCCTTCCTGTTTAAAATCATAGAACTCCAGCTTAGTCACCTCTGCTGGTTGGAAGTGCAGCGTCTTCATGTGAGGAGAAAGCCAGGTTCCTAAGTCCGGGGGTTACTAAGTCCGGGGGGCAGTGATGTTATCATATAAACGTGAATTTTTTTATAAAAAAATGATGAATGTCACTTCAGGTTATTAAAGTTGCGGGAAATGTGCAGATATAATTTGCTCTTCTCTATTTATGCTGTTTCTTTATTTTTTGTGTTTCATTCAGCTTGGCCAGTGAAAACAGACTGGTTAATTTTACTCTCTAAGTCTCAAACAGTTAGCTGCAATGCTGCTGGTTGTGTTTCCAATGGTGTTGAGAAATGTTTCCTTTTTAAACAAATCCTCTCTATTGAAATTTAAAAAAAAATCATGAAAATATTTCTCTTCATATTAGAATTCATTTGTAAAACGCAAAATCTAAATGTATTGCTAAAAAGTATTTGCCATTGTCTCTTTATATTTTGAAATTGCCTCAGAAGGTAATAACAAAGGGGTTAAGGGCTTGTCTACACTGCTCTGCATGAATAGCCATGTGCACCAAAGAGCTACGTTATAACTACTCTGTGTAGATGCTGCGGGCACAAACTAAAATGTTCCTACTTCACATTAGTGTAGTCTTGTTTGAAGAAGACTGTGTTAATGCAAACTAGGAACCTCTTAGTTCACACCCACAGCATCTGTACAGGGGTGCTGTCACACCCCTGTAGTCCGAACTGCCCTTAAAACCCTGGATGTGTCTGGTCTGCTGGTGCATTTGAGACCTCTGTTGGTCATTAAAAGCAGTAACAAATACTGGAGCTCACACTTTGGGAGGCAACCAGAGTGGGTAAGTGTGTTCCCATGACTGAGCATGTTTAGATGTACCATAGGGTATGTCTGCACTTCCATTGGAGGTGTGACTGCAGCCCATAGTAGACATACCTGAGCTAGCTTTGATCTAGCTAGCTCCAATAAGAATATCAGTGACGCCGGAGCAGCATAGGCTAGCTGCTGGGGAACATACCAAGGGCTCGTGCTGCAGTGGCTTTGCTGCTATTATTATTCAAGTAGCTAAATTAAAGCTAACTCAGGTGTGTTCTACACATGCTGCAATCACACTGATTGCAGTGTAGACATACCGTAGTGATTTGCTGCAAACTAATACTAAGATTTGAAAAGTGCTTTGAGATCCTTATTTGAAAGGTGCTATAAAAGTGCAAAGTAATAACATAATTTTTGCACAAAAAATAGTCAAATGCAGTTAAAGCTTATCTGCTGGGAATTTGTTCCTTCACCAGGGGAAATTTTATCTTTGTGGCAGCAGGTTTTGTGTCTGGGTTCAATTTGCTGAACATACTGAGGAATATGCTGGAATTGTCTGCTTTCTCTGTCTATGCTCCAGTGAACTGCACAGTCAAGAGATGAAACCAGTGTGACATAAACATTGCTTAAAGACACGTTTACACTTAAGGCTTGTCTATACTTTTGGCTAAATCGGCACTGCCGTGATCAATGCAGCAGTGACAATTTATTGGGTCTGGTGAAGACAAGCTAAGTCGATAGCAGAGCGTTCTCCCATCGACATCTGTACTCCGCCTCCTGGAGAGGCAGAAGGTAAATCGGTGGGAGAGCACCTCCCATCAACACAGTGTGGTGTAGACAGTAGACCTAAGTTACGTTGACTTCATTACGTAACTTTCGTAACTGAAATAGCATAATTTAGGTCAATTTACAGCTTTAGTGTAGATCAGCCCTTACACTTGGAAGTGGGAGAACAGCAGCTAGGCTAGAACCCCAGTCTAGTGAAAGCTTAGGCTGGGAAAAAGAAAATACAATAGTGCAGAAGTTATGGAGAATAATAATAACATTAATATACTTTTGTAATTTGAAATCTAATCTGTAAATTTTGCTGCAGGTTGGTAAGAGGTAGGGGAGTAAAGGGGGATATGTTCCTGGGATTTGAATTGCAAACTATCCCAGACTATAAAATATATGTATATATGTATATATATGTACTGAATATCATTTGCCTACTAAGTAATGTTTAAAATGCTCATGAAGTTCTGTGAAATGATGAGTTTTGTGGGTACCCAAATGGATAACAGATGGATGGCTAGATTATGGAAGGGATAATTTATCAGTGGAAAAATGATGTGAAATATATGCTGCATAAAAAAGTTCTGTGTAGGGAAAATAGCTGAGAGCAGTCCTCTCAACCATCGTGATTTTCACATGAAATATTTGGGATTCTCATGCGTTTCCTGTAACACCTCCCGTCTGTATTGCACTGGAGAAATTATGTTTTAAAGCTGGTTTGTCAAGGCCACTGGCCCTTGTCTAGCGTGCTTGAACTTGTTCTTTATTCAGGAAGTGTGTATACATGTTTTGTTTCTCTTTGTTCTAGTTTTTCATCATTTTGCTGATAATTCTCCTGGCAGAGCTGATATTACTCATTTTGTTCTTTGTTTATATGGACAAGGTAAGCAAATATACCCCGTAGATTAGTTTATCAGTTCTGGCAGCTAAGCTGGTTTTTGTTTACTTTTGCTAAACAAAGATACTTAGATTCTTCTTACTCTTCTCAATGGAAATTGTTTTAACCTTGTGATCTTCATTTTTATGTGTGCCCCTCCGCATGTTGGCTGAGAGTAATGAGTGGTTAAGGTGGAAGGATTCTCTGTGTGGGTTGACGCAGAATGGTTGAGTTTTGCAGTTTCCAACTGAAACCAAAAGCTGGGACCTCCATTTTGCCCCTCCCTCATAGGCCTGCAGTCTCCACAGTTGACTGCAGGTGAGAGATCTGTCAAAATGTGCACCCCAGGGTGGCAAAGGCAGTGTATGTTTACAAGTCTACATGTGGGATACTGCCCTTTAACCAGTGCTGCTTGTGTTTTGTTTTTTGATGGGAAATAGGTCAATGAGAATGCAAAGAAGGATTTGAAAGAAGGTCTTAAGCTTTACAATACAGAAAATAACGTGGGGCTGAAGAACGCATGGAATATCATTCAGGCAGAGGTAACCCATTTTCTTTATTTATTCTCTGTCTCATCCCATAACTGGCAAGTACGTGGCTTGAGTCACAGTCAAATATTTGTGTATCACTTTACATTCATAAAGTGCCTTGGCCATTCTTTGGGATGAAAGGTGCTGTGCAAAAGTAAGATGCTCCTCATGAGATCCATTGGGACTAGCTGTGTGACAGAAATACTGCTAGAGGTTATGATCTGTATCGAAAGATAAGGGAAGAAAAGGAGTTGATGTGTTAGGGTTACAATCACAACCCTGAAAGGCCACCTGGGATCTGAAAGTAGCAAAGACTCTGGGTTTAAGTGAAAGTGGTTGCAGATGAGGTTTTGGTTGGCAGAGTGTTTTCTAGTGGTTAGAGCAGGGATTTTAGAGTTCAGGACTTCTGGCTTCCATTCCCAGGTACACCATTGGCTTAGTGGTCACAGGTTCCAGTGTCTTGGTTTGTGTGTCTCCAAATGGATATAATAAAACTTATTTTCCACACAGGGCTATTTGTGAGATGCATTAAATGTTTGCGGATACTTTTTGTGATCTCCAGGTGAGAGGTGGTATTGAAGGGCAAAATATGAGGTGTATATGTGAAGAAACCAACAGCGGGTTTAGAGAAGTTACACTTCTTAAAAAGTTTGTTGGTGAAGACTGTTTATGATCCTTTGTCTACTTTGCCTGTAGATGCATTGCTGTGGGGTTACTGATTATACTGATTGGTTCTCTGTCCTGGGGGAAGACATCGTCCCAGACCGATGCTGTATGGAAAATTCCCAAGATTGTGGAAAGAATTCTACTGATTTAGTGTGGAAAACGGTAATGCTTGCTCAGTTTAACTTGTTTGGTTTTTTTAAGTGCACACATGAAATAGGCAAGACTTAGAGTTTTTTTTCTCTTTCAGGGTTGTTACGAGAAAGTTAAAATGTGGTTTGAGGATAATAAGCACGTTCTCGGGACAGTTGGGATGTGTATCCTCATAATGCAGGTATTGATGATACTATACTCTTACATATAGCCCCAACTTACTACTATTATAGTTATCTTTATCATGCCAAAAGGTGTTGCTTGGCTACTTATACCAAGTAGCCAGGGTCCCTGTTTGAATTTGAGAGCTTAGAACAGAGGATGGGGAACGGGGGGCAGTTGGATAGGTGTGGAAGTCCCGGGGGCCCTGTCAGGGGGTGGGGGTGTGGATAGGGGTCAGGGCAGTCAGGGGATAGGGAGCGGGGGGGGGTTGGATAGGGGGTGGGGTCCCGGAGGGGCAGTTAGGGGCGGGGGGTCCTGGGAGAGGGCGGTCAGGGGACAAAGAGCATGGGGGGGTTGATGGGTCGGGGGTTCTGAGGGGGGCAGTCAGGGGGTGGGAAGTGGGAGGGGGAAGATAGGGGGCGGGGGCCAGGCTGTTTGGGGAGGCACAGCCTTCCCTACCTGGCCCTCCATACAGTTTTGGAACCTTGATGTGGCCCTCGGGCCAAAAAGTTTGCCCACCCCTGACTTAGAATCTGGAACTTAGCTTACAGTTTTGCTGGACCCTGGAGTTTCAGTGGATTTATCCTTCCTGTTAGATGAAATCAGGAAGTATTCCCTAATTCTTCATTTTGTTGAATCAAATGATATATTTGATTTTGGGGAATAGTGAGAACTGGCATTTTTCATCCTTTCATGTACTCTGCCATTAAGGGCATGAATAGCTATAATTGTTCTTCTGGCAGAACTCATGCTTTCAGATGCAAAATAATTATTATAGCACCACTGTTAGTGCTGTTAAAATGGCACTGCATGATTAACTCTGATTTCCAACCCTCCTAATTTTGACCCAGTTGGCACTCAGACACCATAAAAAGACCTAGATGGCGGGATAGCTGGAAACTACCCATATTTGGTCTTAAACTGGGACAAAATATTTTTCCTACATTTTGAGGACAAAATTGGTCCAGCTGCTTCTAAGTGACCTAATTTTGTTAGCAATTCAGGTTTCTTTTTCAAGCTTTAAGCCAAACGGGGCTGTTTATCTGCCTCTAAATGAGGACAGGTTACTTTGTCTCTGTTTTGAAAATGATGATGTCCAGTGACAATCTAGTTATGTGCACGTTGACATTCAAGGCTCACTTATAAGTGGCAGTGAAGAACACTGAATTCAAAATGGTGGCCATCCATAGAGATTCACTCATGTCTGCCACTTGTGAAATTAGCACACTTTAAAAATGTTTATTTTACTTAAACACATAGGGGAAAAGTCCTGTAGAATTTAATTAGAGAATTAATCTGCTTTTTATAGCCATAAAACCATGTTATAGAACATAAAACGAAATTATGGTGATTGAATTCTACAGGTTAGTTTTTAAAAGACCTACAAAAAAGAGCTAACTCTCCATTAACTTCAGTAGGTTTTTAGGGTAACTTCTGTGCTTTGGAAAAAAAGCAACAACCTGCCTGCTCTGCCCTATTGTCTAGTAACTGAAGAATGAGAGATGTGCTTTTAAAAGGACAGCAGTTTTGTGCCTTCATGGCACCTTGTGTGACAAAGAAGATTCTGGAAACGATTTCAGTTTCTTTCATGACTCTTACAATGGTTAGGTGTTGTCAGAGCTATCGAAGACTTTGAGCACCTTGCTAGAGATCCAAGGAGTGTCGCAATATTTTGTGACTTAAGGTGGGAAATACTTAGAGTAACCTCAGATATCAAGGAACAAAGCCTCACAATCCCATCAGATAGGCCAGCTTTCCTAGTCTTCGCAAATAAGAACAGGTAGAGAACAACTCTCCTGATGAGTTGGAGTATTCAACTGAAAGTTCAGTGTTTTGTTGCATTATCACTACTGCAGTGGTTGACACTTAAATCAAACCAGCTATTACCCTGATTTTAACCACAGCATGCTATCTGAGATGGCATGATTTTTCCCTTACACTTTATAGCATATAACTTTAGGCCAAATTTGATCATAAGCTACCCTGTGTGCAAACCCATTGTATGCTGTGCAGAACTTGGCTCTTTGGTAACTCTGTAATCTGTTGCAATTATGGATTTTTTATGACAACCCCTGTACTTGTCAGTCATATGGATCAAGAATAATTCAGAAGCGACCAAACAGGCTCCAATAAAAGAAATGAGCCAGGCCTGATGTTTTTTTTTGCATCTTCAAAAAGAGAATAGGACTAATACTGTTTCTCTCTTACTGTTCAGTTGTGTTTGTTGTATGTTGGAGCTCTGATGATTTTCTTGCTGTTCTTTTGATTTTCTGATGCTAACCTGCAATGTGGCACACCTATAGGACAAGATGTTCAAAAGTGACTAGTGATTTATGGAAACCCAGCTTGAGGCACCTTAAAGGGGGATATATTTTCAGCAAATTCTGATCACCTGCCCTCTGAATGCCAGGCCCCTTTAAAGGTCTGATGTTGGGCACCCAAAATCACTAATCACTGCTGAAAATCTTGGCTGGAGGAATTTTATTAGTGTTGGGTGTCAAAAAATTCAGGCACCCTCAGATAAAATACCATCAATGTAGTTTTGAAGGTGTTACTATAGTTAGCCCATAATATTTGCTTTCTTTCAGATACTTGGCATGGCCTTCTCCATGACACTCTTCCACCAGATTCATAGGACTGGTAAAAAATATGATGCCTAAATCTTCAAAATGTTAACTGCATCTACACTTCTGTCTTGCCATTAAAAAAAGGCAAAACAACGGAAAAGAAAAATCAAGCTTTGCTCTGCTGAGGGCATTCATCCCAACGATCAATCTACGTCATCATTACTTGACTGATTACTAGCACAACTTGCTACTTGACTTACTTTTTTGGTTCTGTTTTGCATTTGCCATTTATTTGCCAAAGAAGAAAAGGAAAAATAATAAAAGCAAATCAGTTTTCTACGCTAATTCATAGATCTGCTATTAAACTTTTCCCTAACTTTATTTAAGAAAATGCTTTGCTCTACTAATTGGTGTTAGACATGCAAGGATAACATGACAGATGTGTGTTTAACTTCTAGAGAGACTTCTTTGAAGTCTTCTGATAAGTCTCAAACTGCTCATGTCTGACATACTGGAAGACTTGGGAAAGCCACTCAGACTGAGAACCCTAGGAATCAGAGCTGCTCACTTGCAGCTTTTTGTACCTTATGGTGTATACTTTTTTATTATGGAGATACCTTAGAATTTAGTCGCCTGATTTGTAACTTCTTACTGTTTTGTTTTGCATCTGTCATATTTTAATCCAGGAACCACTGTGCTATCTTTGAAGGACACAATTTTATCATTAGTTTAAAAGGTGGAAATAAAGACATGACTGTTCTAAAGTCCCTAGGGAGGCTACATTTAACTGCATCTTCTGAGCTACCGTGGGTTTGTACCCTTACCATATTGATGACAGGCCTTTCAATCAGGTGGCTCATTTCTTTAGGGCCAGATTGGGTTGCCCTTACTCTCACTAGGCTAAATGGTGAACCCCTTACTCTCAATGGGCTAGATTGTGATGCCTTTATCCACAATGAGTAGCACCTTATGCCTCAGGTAGGCCCATTAAATGGGACTACTTTTAGCATGATACTATTCAGTGTGAGTAAGTGTATCACCAGTGCCAGGAAGGGGCTCACTCTCTGGCCCATTGAGTAGTAGTTTACTCTATAAGTAGTCCCATTGATTTCAGTGGGATGGCTTATTGCACATGGTGCTGTACAACATAAGGGGAGCACAGTCAGCTCATTGTCAGCTTTCCTTACAGGAGTTTACTTGACAATGGTTGCAGTTTTGGCAGGCTGGCGAGGTAGCTTTGGAACAACCACAGAGGTATAAAGCTGGTTAAAGGCAAGTGGGGGAATGGTGTGCCGTATGTCCCAGGAGAGCGGGAAAGGCATGATTTATGTTTTCACTCTGAAATCAGTTTCCAAATAGGTGCTCAGAACCTGTTTGTATCTTTGCACATACAGTGTTGACTTTTGTCTTCTGTTTTCCAAGTCAGACGTACTACATGATAGTTCAGAACTCATTACAACACACATTTCTACCGACATTCCTGCTAGAAAACTTGAACATATTCCTCTCTAGTTTGAATGCTGCTTCTTTCATAGTGGCCCCTGCTTGACGTTTTTGGTTATATTTTTTTGGCAGAGGTCTTTCTTACATTTTGCTGCTTCACGAAGGAAAGTATGAATGAAAATGAAACTTCAGTCATTTTGTGGACACTCTGGTGTTATTTGAGTCAGAAGTTTACTATAAAACTTAGTGGTAATTTTAAAATATATTTCAAAGCTAGTTTATTACCCGCTGGGCCCAGATAGCTGTCGAAGTGGACAGATGTTTATCATCTGCTATCAAAGTAGTGCAGTGATGCTTACAAATTTGAGGTCCTTAGTCTCATTTACCCAAAGCACCTTTACACCTCTCCAGCCGTGTAAAGGGGCCTTGAAGTGAGTGTAAATGTACTTTATGCCAACGTTAAGGACCCTTTACAGAGAGTGATGTAAAGGGGTGTTAATGTAAGTGAGAATCAGGCCCTGAGAATCTAGTCCACCATTTTCAAACTTGGATGCCTACCAAAAGGCATCTAAATTGATATTTAGGCAGGTCACTTATTTAGCTAACTTTCAGAGTGGTTGAGCACCTACCTACGGTTTGCATAGAAGTCAGTGGCACTGCAGGGGCTCAGCCTCTTTGAAGATCAGGCCACATATTTACATGCCTAGAATATAGAATTAGGCTCCTAACTTTAGACACTCAAGGTTGAAAAAGTTGGGTCTAACGCACATATTATTGGTGCAGGATAATACAATCCGTTCTTCCTAAATAGCTGTTTGGTTGCATATACCCTTTAGTTATTCTTCCACTGGCCATATTGGTGACTGATGCGACATTCATATTTCCTTTTAAAGACTTGAGGAACGAGGAGGGGGAAAATAAAGACAAAAACTGGTTGACTTTAATTGTAACGAAAATTGGGACCATGTGTGTCTGAGCTCCATTTGAGACATTCTGTGTCAAGAATGGGAGCTCTGGCACTGAGCATATTTGCTGCTATGTGTAAGATAGTCTCCAAAGTTTCCAAAAAAATGACAAGTTTTGAATTTTTGCATTTTAAAAAATGTATATCTTTAATCCACAGTTCTACTTCTTTATCTTTTATGGTAGGGTTATTTTGCTTTCTCTTCTAAAATACCAATGTTTTCTCTCTCAGACATAAATACAGAAGGGTGGAAAAATAAGCAAGACCAGGATGCTAGATCCTTCTAAAGTCGCACAGTGGTACCTGCTGAAATCTTAAATTTTAATCTGTGATTGGTTTTTGTAAAAAAAAAAAAAAAGAAAGGAAAAAAAAAAAAGAAATCAAAATGCATTTATACAAGTAACCATGAAGGCAGAATACATAGTGGAAAACTAAAGCTATTTTGCCTTCCCTTAAAACTTATTTTTTGTAGACTGCTCAGTTATGTTTTATGACCTGATAGCAAGATAGGTATTGAAAATTCTTTTTTCATGAATTCTTTTAGCATTTTAAGTACAGTATTAACAGAGATAATTACACAAACAGTATTGTCAAGTCTCGCTTTAGCTGACTATGGGAAGGGAATTAAGCAAATTAAATAAACAATTAGCATTATAGTACAGTAGCTGAATATCAAACCATATAACAGGAAAACCTGTGTTTTGAAAACAAAGAAAAAGCAATACTGTTCTTAAGGTGACAAAAGCCAGCCATAAAAAATATCATTAGATTGTATTTGTTGGTATATATCAGAGAAGATGCTAATTGTCCTTTAACTGTTCAGTGAAAGGGATAGCAATCTTGTTTAAAAATGCACTTTTTTGCTTGCATTGGTGGATGGCTGTCTGTGCATTTTTCCAAAACATTGCTTTGATTATTTAACTACACATTTTTAGCATGTTTTTAAATAAAAACTGATACTGAGTAAAAGTATTTTAAGTGTATACAAATGTTGATTTGTATTTATATATGCACATATATATATATCATTGAAGCTCAGTTCAACTGTATCAAAGTTTTGTTTCTTTTTAAAGTGTCATTTTAGAATTTTGCATACATGATATTTTGTTGTGCTTTTTGCACCCAAGTTTTTATAAATAAGCTTAAACTGTAGAGGAGCTTAATCTGATTGATACATTTTTGGATTTCAGAGAGGCAGGTAAGACTTATAGCAGTAGAGAGTGTCCATATTTAATTTGGTAGCAGTGTCAGAACTGTCAAGAGGGAAAAGGGCTTTTTCTTTATGACAGGTAACTGCTTACACTTCCAAGCATGTGGCTTTCAAATCCTGGGTGCATAATGTCCAGAAACCAGGGCTGTTTTCCTCAGTCTGGCCATTTATGTTTACCTGTATTCCTAATTAAAAAAACAAGGCCAGAGTGCATTTTATTTCCACAATTAGTTACAGTGGCTACTTCAGAAAACCGGGGAAATAGGGAGCTCACAAGACTGAGGGTAGGTGGCTAAGGTTCAGAGATTCAGCTACAGGTCTGATTTTGCAGGGTGCTAAGTTGTGAGATGCTACGCGTTCTTAGTTTCATTGACTTCAAGGGTAGTTGACGGTGCCCGGTACCTCAGACTCCAAGTGTCAGAAGAATGAAACAAAATACTTCTAAAAGTTAAGTCAGACAGTTTTCTGGCATGGCATTGCCAAATCTTTAACTGTTGACTGTAGCAGAGTAAGTGCCCTGAAATTACATGTTTAAAGCAACTGCTACAGGAGCTCTCAAAGCAGCTGTTGGGAGCAAATTTAAAGAAAGTGACCAGAGAGCCCTGCCATTGATGAGATTTCTGATCGCTTCATGTTTCACTTGACAAGAAATGGTTCCAAATTGTGTACTATAAGGCACTCGGGAGAGGTTAAAAATAAGTGACCCGCCAAAGGGTATGTTTGGGGGAGAAAGGGAATTTGGGCTTGGACTCCCTTTTGCTTTTATAAAGAAGGGCCAAATACTTTTTGATGTTCTTTTTCTGGACGTGGGGGATGTTCCCCTGTTTTGCCCCCTGCTTTTTACTTTGCAAGTATCAGGAAATTAAATTCCATATTTTTCTGGAGGTCTTGTTGGGGGTCTTGGGTAATCTTTCTCCAGAATTTTACTTAGTGATTGGAGTTACATACAAAAGAATGTTTTAAGAAGGCTCACTAAATATCCCTTCCCCTCTCAACTGCTCAGCCTTTACTCCTTTGGCTCTTGTGATGTCCTTCAGTTACTGGAGAGTCTTCCAGCTGAGACCAGACCTGAATTTCTAATGGTTTTTATGTTTCATTCAAAACCTTTCAGTCCTCCTTTATATCTCATAAAAAATCAAGAAAGGGGACAAGATCGTTGGTTCGTTTGTTTTTGCAGTGGTCACCCTAAAGCAGGGACGCGCTGGCCGCTGCTACCTGCAGCTCTGATTGGCCAGGAATGGCGAACCGCGGCCACCGGGAGCTGCGGGGGGGGGGGCGCTGTGCCTGCGGATGGTCAATGTAAACAAAATGTCTCGCAGCCCACCAGGGGATTACCCTGATGGGCCATGTGCCAAAGGTTGCCAACCCCTGCCCTAAAGTATCCATGTGCAGGGATGCCCATTTGGCCCAATATACATCGTCTGTGAGGACAGTCTCCTGGAAACAGTAAGAATTCATTGTTAAAAGGTTGGCTTAACATACAAACCAGAGGTGCTTAAAGGCGTTTAGTCCACTCTGCTGTAGTTGACATCGCTGTAAGAGAATTAAAAAATAACTCACTCCCCAATAATTTCTTATGTAGTCAAGGAAATGTATTTCGGTGCCATACTCTCAGGAGCCTGTGTGCACTTTTGTTTGCTAGTGTACATGCACAATTGGCCAGGTTTACTTCTCTATGTCCGCACGCACTGAATTCTGATCTTTGCTTTATTGCTGATCTCTGCTTGTACCCGTAGCGACTTAACCAGTTCCACTTTTAGAAATGCCAGTTTTTTAAGGCTTGTGGGGTTACTAACGGTATGTCTACACAGCAACTAGACACCTGCTCCTGGCCCGGGCCAGCCAACTCGGGATTGCCTGGCTCGGGCTACAGGGCTCTTTCAGTGCAATGTAGCTCAGGCTGGAGCCCAAGCTCTGGGACCCTCCCACCTCGCAGAGTCCTAGAGCGCAGATTCCAGTCCGAGCCCCCCAGAAGTGTATACTGTAATGAAGCAGCCCCGCTGCCCAAGAACCACAAACCTGAGTCACCTGGCACAGGCCAGCTATGGGTTTTTCACTGTAGTGTAAACACCCTCAGGGGACTGTAGTGCTAGGAGGCTGTGCAGAGTTTCTGGTACTGGGGAAGCAGGAACAGGTTGAGACTATTGCCTGGAACAAGTACCCCAGCACAAGATTCCCACTTGATTTGCTTCCCCAATGCCAGTTGTTTTGACTGTCAAACTGGGAAGGAAGGAGTTGTCCTGGAATGAATTCTGTCAGAATAAGAGTTAGTACCTTCACGGAGTTAGAGAGAAATGGGGACACTGGGAGGGACAGAGGCAGGGAATTGGCTGCCGGGAGGGTGTTTTCCAGGGCTAGGGCAAAACTGTGGGAGGCTTAGGGAAATACTTGTAATAGGGTCTTGGCTAAGGAGGGAGGGGGGAGGATCAGTACTTCACAGTTAGGGGCTGCCCATAAACCACGGAACTCATTTGGGGTGGATGAGTCCTTAATTTTGAGTGTTTGTCTCAGCGTTACAAAGTGTTGCAAGGGTAGGTGGGTCTTGGAAATCACTGAAAAATTAGTTGCCTAAGTGATGGACAGCTCCCTAGTTGTGGCTGTGGTAAAGGGGAGAGAGGAGGGGGCTGAGGAACTGATGATGATACACCAAATAGACATGCAGGTGCCTTTAGCACCTAAAACCAAGTATCAGTTTGATAACATTTGGTGACATTGCCCAACACTGATAGCGGCGGTGGAAATAAAGTGCACTCTTTGTCCATTGGTAGGCTGAATAGTCGGTATTAACATCAAGTCACAATTATACACAAGTGAACTTCCATTGCCTTTGGGGTTTTATCTTGTGCATGTTGCATTGAGTGACTCGAGTTCCGACATTGTATCTGTAGGAGAATAATATGCCAAAAAGCGCATTTGAAAGTCACAAGTGGAGTGTAATGTAACTCATCCACCCAGTATTTTTGATACCACACCTTTAGACAAACTAAGCATATCATTTGTATTGCATCCAAGATGCAGTGGTTTATTGGAATAAAGATAGCAAGGAGAAAAAGGACATTTTCCCAACAAATATATTTCTGGCAATGTGGTCTGTGTGTAAAAGGGAATTGGCGGGAAGCAGAATGCAATAAGGCACAATTAGTGTCCTGAAATAATTTCCTTTTAAACTTAATTTGTTGGCTTCGTCACTTAGCTCTTGTTTAAAACATGGAGATATTTTTATACCAGAAATACACTTGCAGACCCAGAACATTTGTATGCGTGGTAGCTGTTAGAACCTAATGTGCCATTCCATCCAGGTTACGTTCACACCGGTGTTCCTTCTATGCAATACCTACTTTAGCCTTTGTACAAATTATTTTGTATTAGTATTACATATGAAAATAAAGGACATAAGAAAAGGGATGTATGTTTGACCTTTATTCCCCTCACCTGCCCCCCCCGCCAAAAAAAATTAGCAGCTCCAGTTGTTAAAAGTAAGCCAAGAGACATGTCTGTATTTTAACAGATGGGGTCACTGAGATTCCCTGATGTATCAATGCTCTATTTCCTACAAACGTTCTGTTATAACAAATGAACAGAGAAGAGGAGCGGTGAAGAGAGAAGGTGACAGTATTACTCCACAGGGAGTGATCTGAACAAGAGTACAAATAATGCTGGGTTTAAAAGGGTAATTGAAAATAAAAGAGAGTTCCTAGGATTGTGTGCCAGCAGTACCTACATTCTGTGGTGTTACTTGTAAAGCCCTGGTAATGTGGTTGGGGCTACACAAGGTGCAGAAGGAAGATAGTCCCTGCCTCAGAAAGCTTTACTGTCTAACAGAAACTGAGAATTGAGGACACACTGCAAGTCAGAAGGTTTTTCCCTGCGTGGTTTGGCTCTCCTCTTTTTGGGCATTACTGAAGAAGTGAGTCTTTGAGGGGGGACTTCAGTGAGAGGCGGGTGGTCACTTGGCTAATTGAGATGCCATGGGTATTCCTCACATAGGCCTGGAGATGGGCACTGGAGCAGGAGATGAATAGGGCATCAAAGCCAGCATCATTGGCAGAGGGGCTGAGAACGTATGGTTCTTTGGAAAATGTGTGGCGTTTGGCTATATAGGTTTGGGGCAGTTGAGGCAATGTTGATCACTGGGCAGTGGAGCTGAGATACACAAGAAGCCATTATGGCACCTTAGAGACTAACAAATTTATTTGGGCATAAATTTGTTAGTCTCTAAGGTGCCACAAGGACTCCTCCTTATTTTTGCTGATACAGACTAACACGGCTACTGCTCTGAAACCTGACAAGCAGCCATTGTGAGCAGCTAATATACGAGTGTGAGGGATTTCCTGAGAATGTGGCAGTAGTGTGCAGGGATTGATTCCTACAAGTGAAGACTCTCCCTTGAAGATATAACCCTTGTAAGAGTGAAAGACGGTCAATTTATGAATTTGCCAAGGTGCCACTTAGATTTTATAGCTCCAGGCATTGGTTGCCCTGGGGATTCTGCAGCTTCTTGTGTTAGGTTCAGTCAACTCTCCCGAGCATATGGTGACTCTGGTTTCAGGGCTTGTAGGAGGGGGCAACCCTCTTATTCCCACTGTACACATGCCAAGTGAGTGCTTAGGTTTTAGCTTTCCGTTTCTTTGCTCCTTTCACTGGTATCCACTAGATGGCGTTGGTGTAAAACAAACGTCTTCAATCCATTTCTTATCGGAGGCTTTTTAAGTTGGATTCATTTCAAGGATTGTGTTTCATGATTAGCCCCGATTATCAGTTAGGATCCCCTCTTTTAAGCAATTTCTCTTACTTAGCCCGAGTTATACTCTGGTTTATATCTTTTAACATTTCTCCTTCCTTATACCACACAATTTCCATTACTTCTAGAGCGCAACAATTATTTGTGATAAAAACAAACAAACAAAAAATCCTTATACCCTTCTAAATTTGATGGACATATTCCATACGCTCTTTGATTGTACACATGCATTTTGCCTTATTTAGGACTTACAATAGGACAAGAGAGACAAGGTGGGGGAGGTAATATCTTTTATTGCAAGGGTTCTCAATCTTTTTCTCTCTGAGGCTGCCCTCGACATGCTATAAAAACTCCAGGGCCCAGCAGGGGTGGGGGGTTTGGGGCATGGCCCTCAAGCAGAGGCGTAGTTTGACTTCTATTTTCGGGGGGCAGGGGCCAGTGGGGCTTGAACCACATATGCATGGTAGGGACCAGGGAGGGAGTGCCACCTCCACCCCTTGACTCACCTCAGCAGGCCACCCAGCCTGTCTGGGTTGGGGGGGCAACCAAAAATGATAACTCAAAGGTCAGGGACTTAGCTCAAAAAGCTTGAAAACAGCTCATAGAGTGCAGGGAGGGGGTAGCTGGGGCTGTGAGCACACAGGGGGTAGCTGTGGGTGCAGGGAGGGGGTGGCTAGGAGGTGTGTGTGGGCAGGGGGTAGCTCAGGGTGCAGGGAGGGCGTAGCTAGTGGCTGTATGCAGGGAGGGGGTAGCTCAGGGTGCAGGGTGGGTGTAGCTAGGGGCTGTGTGCAGACAGGGTAGCTCAGGGTGCAGGGAGGGCGTAGCTAGTGGCTGTATGCAGGGAGGGGGTAGCTCAGGGTGCAGGGTGGGTGTAGCTAGGGGCTGTGTGCATGGAGAGGGTAGCTCAGGGTGCAGGGAGGGGGTAGCTAGGGGCTGTGTGTGGGCAGAGGGTAGCTCAGGGTGCAGGGAGGACATAACTAGGGGCTGTGTGCAGGGAGGGTGTAGCCTCAGGGTGTAGGAAGAGGGGTATTAGGGGCTGTGTGCTGGGAAGGCACCCCTGTGGTCCCTGTTCCTGGAGTGGTCTGCCAGCCATGGAGCTCTCCCCACCTGGGGGGCTCTTATTGGCTGCCTCTGTGGGAGCAAAGGGGACTGGGAGCTGAGGAGCAGCTTCAACCCAGGGCACCAGCAGGAGATGAGGGAACGCAAGGCACCAGCCAGAGCAGCAGCTGCCCTGCACTGCTTGGCTCTGGCTTCCCACCTCCGACCTGGGTGGGGAGGGGGTGGGGAGGAGAGTGCGGAGCTGACTCCCGGGACTGCCGTGCTCTTGTGCTGCAGTTTGGGTTGGGGGCAATGCCCTCCATGACCCCAATTCTGCCGACGGGCTCAGGGCTTCTGCCCCACAGGGAACACCAGGGCTTGGGGCTCCAGGACTCAGCCCTGTGCCTCCTGGCTTCAGCCCTGTGGGGGGCGCTAGGGCTCGGGCTCTGGGTTTCAGCTGCAGTGCTCCGCGGCCCCCTTGAAAGGGCTCGGGGGGCCGGGAGCCCCGGTGGAGAACCACTGTTTTATTGGACTCACTTCTGTTGGTGAGAGAGACAAGCTTTCGAGCCCACAGATCACACAGAGGTCTACAGGAGACCTGAAGAAGAGTGCTGGTTGACTTGAAAGCTTGTCTCTCTCACCAGCAGAAGTTGGGCCAATAATAGCTATTACCTCACCCACCCTGTCTCTGTAATATCCCAGGGCTGACACGGCTACAACTACACTGCACACAGCAGTAGGACAAGAGGCATTTTTCACATGCAGAAGGACGTAGATTTGACTCACAAGGCAAATAAATGTACAGAGTCTAATTGTAGGTGAAAGAGATTGTTTTCCTTATAAATCAAACATACGGTGAATAATGTATAGTTTATACTTTGGGGTGAAAACACTGCACAGGAAAGCAGGGTGTGACCCTTGCTTGGTAACTTGGAGCTCTTTTTAGCTAGGTTGGAGGGGAAAAAGAGGTTTTATGCATATGTAAATTTGGAGAGATTCTTGCCTAGGTGATTAACAATACTCTCATTAGCCATTTTAGTTTCTATTCTTGAGGAGAGGAATTCCCGACCTTGGCTGATCTGTGAGTCCTTAGACAAAGTGTCTCACCTGATGTGAACCATTTTCTTATTTCAGAGTAGCAGCCGTGTTAGTCTGTATTCGCAAAAAGAAAAGGAGTACTTGTGGCACCTTAGAGACTAATAAATTTATTTGAGCATAAGCTTTCGTGAGCTACAGCTCACTTCATCAGATGCATTCAGTGACTGAATGCATCTGATGAAGTGAGCTGTAGCTCACGAAAGCTTATGCTCAAATAAATTTGTTAGTCTCTGCATCCGATGAAGTGAGCTGTAGCTCACGAAAGCTTATGCTCAAATAAATTTATTAGTCTCTAAGGTGCCACAAGTACTTCTTTTCTTATTGTCTTTTCTTAGATGGATAATATTTTGGGATAAAGGTGGATAGTTTTTTCTAATTTTATTGAGAACCAACAGGAATCCATAATTATTAATCATTCAAGGCATATCTGTTCTTTATATCCCTTAAACCAGGATAGAGAATGGATACTGACGGAATAATGGTAACAGGGTAAACGGTCATTAACCTGAATGAGGGCTACATTTGCATCCAATTTACAAGCTGGTTAATGGAGCAGTGTGACACAGAGGTCCATTTGTACCATATGGCAGAGGGTTCACTGTTCTGTAACAGTACCTCCTAACAGGCCTGACAAACTCACTCACACATCCCTGGTGTAGTATTTATCCATAAATGATGTCATGTGAGGTCTCTAATCATTGTGAGATGTCTGCATGGATGATATTTAAGGAGATGTGTCTATGTACTGAAAATATGTTTTAAAATCTGTGTCCAAGGCAGAGCTGACAAACGAGTTTTGACAAAGGATGTCAGCCTGGTAGATTAAGCATTGTATCCCAACACAATGGAAGCCCCATTTACATAGGGAGTCAACAGGAAAGGAGCACAGAGGCAAAAGCAAGCCATGGGGGTTAGCCTGACCATGCACAAAGACTGTGAACTCCAGGGATTTAAGAAGAAGGCAAGGAGACATCCCTTTATCCTGCACCTGAGGAAGTAAATGGACAATGAGTTTACATTCATGAAAACAGGATCTCAGTTAGGCTTGGTTGAAATGCTGCAAAAGACATTTGAGGTGAGGTAACCTTCTGTAGATAAACTGTCAGCCTGCTAAATGAAGTTTAATCTCTAGAAAGCATGTTATGATTTTATTTTATATATAACTTTGCGGTTTCCACTATCCTTAAATCTTAATCTTTGATAAGAAATGTATGATTGTCCTGGAGGAAGCTGGTGCTTTTGTGATGAGTGTTTTGATGATGGTTTCTATGAATATCAGGACTCATAGAAATCATCATCAAAACCATTCACCACACAAGGGGTCAGCTTCCTCTAGGACACAACCTACTTCCTCCAGAAACTCTGCAACACTAACAACCTTCCTCAGAGCACCATCCTTATCATGATGGATGTTGTCACCTGCCTCTACACCAACATCCCTCACAATGATGGCACTGCTTGCGTACTTCAAATATCCACCCCAAACACATCGCCAAACTCATCCATTTCATCCTCACCCAAAACAATT